AAAAGTTTCGGTTAATCTGACAGCAGTACTTATTTTGGTGTACTCTTTCTTACATAAATCCTTCAAGAGCCTTACATACTTCTCAGGAACCCATTTCTCTCTCACACATCTCCATAGCTTTACATCTAGGAAGTGTATCCTATGCTTCTCAATATTTATAAATATCAAATGTAGCTCTCTTTTCTTCCCGCTATATTTTTTCAACTGTTTCAAAGCAAACAAGGGATCCATTGTGCTCCTTTCTGGCATAAGCCCAAACTGTTCTTCTCCTAACCAAACTGGCATAAGCCCAAACTCTTCCCTGTATCTTTATACAATGATACCGTCACACTCTCTCTCCATGAGTTGGGTATCCTTTCTTCCTTGCTGTCCTAGAGCTTTCCAAACCTACACAGGTACTTCATGAGGTACTGCTTTACCATTTTTCATCATGTTTAACGCCTCGACAACTTCATCTCTCGCTATCCCCAGCCTAACATTCTCATTTGGGATCCCGCATTGCTTTATTTTAATATCGGTTCTTAGCAGTCTTCCGTCCACACTCTTAATCTGCCGCATGTGGGTCTAGTCCTTTTATGACTTGTCCATTGCTTTAGCAATGCTGTAAAACCTTTTCATTTCTTTAGGTATTTCCAACTTTTCATACGTCTTGTGCAGGTCTTTCGTTAGCAGTCTTTCCTTAAATATATCCTTATTTTCCTCACTTTTATACCTGTCATACCTCTTTCTATACTCTTCCTTCTCTTTCTTTCTTCTCTGCAACAACATATGATAGAAAATATTGTACTGAACACATAGAACTGAAATTGAAAATAAATAAATACAATATTATTAAAATAATTTCAATTACTCTGTCAAAACATTAAAAGTAAGAACATTTAGAAAATGCGAAGCCGTTATTAAAAAACAAGATAATCATTACCAGATTCTTTCTGAAGTAGCGAAAGTACTAGTTGGAATTTTTTCCGAAATAAGAATATTTAATATATTTTTTGTATTATTGTGTATATATTTTCTAAAATGATATTTAATTGTATTTACCAATTTTTTACATGGATATTTAAGAGTATATTTATAAGCCTGCAAAACCAAAACATTTCGTCACTCACGATAAAAATTTCACATATAATACAAAGTACTTTTGTACCATCTGTAATATACGAATACTTACAAAATCTTGTACATTTGTCACGTAGCTATGTTATATAAACTGTACTAGGTCGTTACTTAATATTGATACAACCTATTGTATAATTGTGTAGTATCTGCTCATCCCACGAGGAAACAAAGCAAAGGTTAATAGAAGAAACAATTTAATTCCAATGGCGTTTACAGATGCTACTTTCAATTAATAGTTCCTTATTTGTTTACAAAATATCACGTTTTACAAGAAAGTCTTTGATTATACCAGTCTCAAAACGTTTCTTGTTGGTATAGTAATGCTTTTTTTATTGTTTAAAATTCTCTCTTAGTTATTTTAACGTATCAAATGGCATTTCTATTAAATTTTAAGTATAAAAATAATAGTTTAATAAGTTTGCAATAAGATGTGTAGTGTATAGTCTACCCTAGGGTTTTAAGTTTTAATTTATATATAATTTATATTTATAAACCCAGCCTCGAAAGGCAACCGCACAAGGAACCTTCGGGCATACATGAGTTGTATTAACACATTGGCTGCCACCATAAGAGTGTTAGGTACGTTCACCAGGTGCCAACGTGAAAAATGCTTACAAAACAATATTTATTCATACAAATGGTTAATAATGCAATGTAAGTTTACATTCTTACAAATTTTTTTGAAAAAAATAGCAAGATCACGGGTGATCCTAATGGCACTGCACTAACATATTACACACTTATGTGCCACTAGTATCACCGGTGATCGTGAACAACTTAATGCTTTTTAGTGAAACATGTCACACAGTAAAATTTTTCACAAACATTACAAAATGTAGAAACAAGTTTGGGTTTCTTTTGAGCTTCTTTGCTGCCTTTTTTTGCAACTGTTTCAGTGTAACATTGGTTACAACGTTTTCTCTTCTTCCTATTGTTTGTAGTTTTGGCGTCAACTGTAACAAGCATATGCTTTACAGTAGTAATAGGCTCAGGCATCGGACTGTAATTGACTAAACTTAGGATTAGCATTTCCCGAAATGAGATAACTTGTTGTTTTGGTGTGTTGAAGGAATTGTATATTATCAAACTATTGATGACAGCCGTATTCAATAAAACTTCAATTGCAGCTTTATGGTACCAGCGAACACTTTTTCTCAGAGGTGAGAAATAGCTTGCGAGTTGATCTGAGACATCAACACCATCTTTTCCTTTGTTGTAGTCTATAATTGCTTCAGGTTTAATTATAGCTACACCATCTTTCTTAGAATCTTTGTTTGTTTCTTCTTTTTAATTTTAGAAACCACGGTTTTGCTGATGTTGAAATGAGAAATTCCTATTGTAGCGTATATCTTACAGGCTAGAGTCGGTTTTAAACAACCAAGTGTTATTTGGTTCATCTCTTTAATGATCTACGTGGCAAGTGTGCACCGAGCAAGGTCAAATTGAAACCAAGTATTAAAATGTAGAAAAACACGAAGCACGGCTGAGGTCTTTAATATAATTCTTTGAGCTAGCCAATTTTTTATAGTTATGTTGCTTCTTGGGACAATTTTGGCTATTGTATCGTAGCAATAGCTTTTAAATGTAAATGCTCGATACAGTCCACCTCAAGATATTTTACAGTAATGCATTACCTCACCGTAATTTTTAACGTTTTTTAATCATGCGAGTTATTTAGGCGGTAAGTGCACAGTTGGGTTTTAAAGGACTTGGGTCTAGAAAGTTATTTTTATAGTACTTTTTTAGCTCTTCTAGTGTAGCCGATAATTGAAGCCTTGGACAACCAATCTTATATCAATATAGATAACTTGCCTCATTTCAAGGTAACTCAATAAGTCGTTGGTATAAATACTATAAAGTAGAGGTGCTAATACTTAGGTATTGGCCTACTTCCTTATGTACGCCATTTTTTTATTTATCAAGCAACTTTTTTCAAATCGAAAAATAACACGGATTTACGATTTCTAAGAATGCATTTTAACAACTATATCAATCCAAAAACCTTGGTCATATTGTACACTTTTAATATTAATATTTGGTAGTTGATAGTGTCCTAAGCAGCAGTTAAGTCTACCCAGCGATGCCAGTTATTTCCTTCTGTTCAAACCAGTCATCGATATGCTATACAAGGTTTAATATTTGACCACAGCAAGATTTACCAGCTCTAAATCCACCTTTTAGAACTACATACCAAATCTTCTAAAATAGGACTGAAAATGAATTTAAACAAAACAAAAGTCATGCACTCCGAAGACACCGTGACAATAATAAACGATAAAGTTATAGAAAAAGTTGAAGAATATATACTTAGGACAAAAAATAATACTAAATAGGAAAATTCAAACTGAAGAGATAAATATTGTTCTGAAGCTATTTTCTTGTGGCATTTTAAATTAATTACTATTTAACTGGGAATACACAATTAAAGGTAAAAATACGTTTATTGACGTTTCAATTTCCACTTCGAAAATCATTCTCAAAATACAAACTGTTTGTATTTTTAGAACGATTTCCGAAGTAGAAATTGAAATGTCAATAAACGTATTTTTATCTTTAATTGTGGCTTATTCCAAGTTAAATAGTAATTGAAGAAATAACAAGAAGAAGAAAGTTAGCTTGGGCAGCATTCGGTAAACTAAACTATATACTCAGAAGTCGAGATAATAATTATTCGAGAGAAGTCTATAATTATTCGAGAATATCAGAGATTGGACTAACCTCAGTATTGAACCGATATTTCACGTTGCAAAAGATCGAGAAGCGTTTAAAGAAGTGATCGCCAACCTTCGTTAGAAGACGGCACAAGAATAAGAAGAAGAAGAATTATTCGAAGCAGTTCATATCTTTCGCCTCTTGTAATGTGTCCCAAGTATTGCAGTTTTCGTTTTTTGATCGTAAATATGACTTCCTTTTCTTTATTTATTCTTCTCAATCGTGAATCTCAATCCTTGATATTTGTGACTCTCTCGGTCCATGATATTCTCAAGATTCTGCAATACATCCACAGTTCAAATGCCTCTAATTTTTTGGTATCAATCTTTTTCAACATCCATGACTCCATTCCGTAAAACAGCACAGAAAGTACGTAACATCTCATCAGGCGAAGTTTCATTTCAAGGCTCAAATCTCTTCCGCAGAACACTCTCTTCATTTTAGTGAATATGGATCTGGCTTTTTCTATTCTTATTTTGATTTCAGCTGAGCTATCGTTGTCTTTATTTATAAAAGTGCCTAAATATTTTTATTTGCTAACTCGATCGATAATTTCATCGTGTAAATATAAATTTTGGACATTTTGTGTTGATTTCGATATTACCATAAATTTAGTTTTCTTTATGTTCAAAGATAGTCCATATTATTCGCTGCAGTCTGCTATCTTATTCACCAATGTCTGTAGCTCTTCAAGTGTTTCTGCGATCAGAACAGTGTCGTCGGCAAATCTCAGATTGTTTAATCTAACACCATTTATTTTAATACCTACGGATTGCTCAGACAGTGTTCTATTCATTACGTCTTCGGAATAGAGATTAAACAGGGTTGGTGACAGTATACACCCTTGTCTCACACCACGCTTTATTTCAATTTCTTCAGTGGTATTATTCTCTACTCTCACTACTGCTTTCTGATTGTAGTACATATTTGCTATTAGTCGGATGTCTCGTTTATCTAAATTCTTTTCTGTCAGGAGTCTGATTAGGTGATCATTAGGTGATTGTAAAAGATGTTATAATTAAATGTTGAATACAAATATACCTTAACAAGACCCAAAAATATCTTTTCAACTGGTAATGTACGCACATCTCTTAAAAATTCGATTAGTAGCAACGAAATAGTTTGTAGTTCTATTGTATTAGTTAAACCTTAAGAATTAAAAAACTTACCACGACTCTGACAGCAGAAACCTGCTTAGTGGTGTAAAAAGAACATCTTGGTGGAAAATTTAAGCACCATTTGTAGTTTCTCAGAATTATATTTTTCAAGTAAGTCTCTGTTACATTAGCTAAATACCTGCAAATGCATAATGATCAATTTCTAAACTTTCTAATAAATTAATTAAGGTAACATAAGCTAAGAATACAAAACATTAATTACAGCTAAGACCTGCAGCTTCAACTTTCCGTTTTAACGCATTTATGTAGTTTAAGTATCAGTTAGTGTCAGTAAATATTTTGACAAAAGTCGTCCAAGCAAGCAAGCATATTAATTAAACCCAGCCTGTTAGACATGTTTACCCCTAGGAATTACGTTTGAGTGTAGCAATTCATTGGAGCAAGGTGTATTAATTAGAGTAAAACAGGAATGACTCCATCACGCTTCAATGCTCCAGACCATCCCTTTCTCCCCTATAGCACTCTGATGTGCGATATAGGCACAAATATTAGCCAAATGCTCTTTATGTGGGAGTCCTGGGTACTAGAACTCCAACGTGGTTCCCTAACCGATTCAAATTCAGAAGAGCGTGACGTGCTTTATTCCTGTAATCCTCTAGTGACTTCGCCTCCGCTCCGGACTACGTTTTTGGTTGGTTTTCTTTAAGTATTTATTAGTGTTTTGTTATTTTTTGTTATTGGCATACATCGTTTTTTATATTTTTTTGTCAATTTTTTATTGTAGGATCAATGTAGGACTATACAAAAGGTCCTGTTGGTGTTCCTTTGGTCCTTATCCCTTGGGCTCACACAGTGAGGAAATTTGCAGTGTTTGTTGAATAATTAGAGCTACAAAGTATTCTCTGTTGGTTTGTTTATTTTTCTCTCTCGGAGACAGAAGTCGCCCGCAAAGTCGAGGTCTTTTATATAACTGGTTTAATCTCACTGAATTCCCCTCATTCGGTTTTTTTTTCACCTTCCGTACCACAGCGTCCAGTGCTAACATAAATAAAGTGGGTAAAATATTGTAGCCATTCCTAACTTCAGCATTAATGACAATATCATTTGACAGTTTTCTTAAATGTAAGACTCGATATTCAAATAAAATTCACCATCTTTCGATAACGTACCTTCTGCTCCAAATATCCCAAAATACCTGGTGTTTCTAGATATTGAAAGCTTTTTTAAAATCTTTACAAAATTAGATCAAGTGTTGCCTGGTACTCCGTGTTTTACTCTAGGAGGATTTATACGGAGGGTATTATTTAGACCCACACATCTGCAATGTGCTCTATAGTCTGAGTATTTTATTCTGTAACCTGGTTGCTGCATACTTTTTACCCTGTTCAGTGTAAAAGTTCAGCCTCTTAAGTTATTGTAGTTTATAATATCCCTCTCCTTTAAAATTTTTGCAACAATACCTTGTTCCAATTATTCGGGTGGCTTTCTTTCTGCCAAATCCATTGAATTTGCCGCACCGTGGTATTTTTACCAGAATTAAGCAGTTTAGCCGAAATATGATCTGCAGCTGTCAATTCTTCATATTTTTTAATTATTTTTCCTTCTGTCTCAGAAGTAACCTTTAGAGATATTACCTAATCTGGTGAAACAATCTTTCCATTTCCTGATTTTCATTCTATCCCATTATCCTCTAAGTTTAAAAGTCCTTGAAAGTGTTTCTTCCACCTGTTAAGTTGTTGTTTCTCAGCAATTAAAAGCACACCCTCTATATTAGCTATTAGACTATCTTTATTAAAAACAAAACATACAGAAGTTAAAACACTTCATTCACCATATTTTTCTTTTTCTAATAGGGATAGTTTTTACCATTAACATATAAAAAACAACCAACGGCACAAGTCCAAAAGTAAAGTGGAGGGTAAGTATAACCTAAATCCAAATTTTCATGCAATTAAATGTTGACATGAAAAATCGCCGTATTTCCCGTTTATTTACTGTTTTAATAGTATTATTTTCTAAGAACAAGTGTACATATTTGTAAGGTAAAAACTAACTTTCGTGTGATTATACTTACAGCTTTTCTGTTAGGCATATATGATCTCCTGTTAACTTCCCATGGACAATAAAGATATTTATTAGCAATAAAATTGACAAGGCATGCTGCAATCCCATCTAGAAAGGAAAATGGCATTTCTTTAGTACGTTTAATGTTGTACAAATTCTTGAAATCTAATAAATAGTGAAGTGTTTCAATATTACGGTTTATAATAAATGTTTGTTAACGCACATAAGATGGTTAAAAATAGTTCAAACATACATAACTATGTCGACCGTAACAGAGTCGACCAAAAGGCTAGAAACTCCTATTATCTCTTAAATGTATGGTCCGAATTGGACACTGACCGGGATACGCTTATTCTGTTATAGCGTTGATTGAATAATCCAAACTTGGATTGAAAATCCAAATTTGGATTATTCAATCAACGGTTATAGGGAGGTTTTTAAATTTCAAATTTTAATTATTATTGGAATCATCATTTAAATACGAGTTCAACTATATCTAACATATAGTATTTTATAATAGTATATAGTATTTTATCTAGTCACAAGGATAAATAAAACTACTGAGTGCCACATAATTTTGAAGTAATTCATTAAATATAGAATGCTGTGCTAAAACTAACAATAGCTTGAAGTTTATTAAATATTTTATGAAGTAAATTGTATTAATTACTAAAGCTAACAGTAGTTTTACGTGTTTTTAAAAGCTCCACAATAAAAGTGGTTTTTAATGAAAAAGAGCGAATTACTGCTTAAATGATGAGACGTTACGGTGACAGAAAAAGTCTTACAGTGAAGTAGCCAACTTGTTTAACTATACTTTCCCAAACAATTTCCCTAGGACACAAAACATTGTAAAGCCATTTGAGGAAATTGGACGAGCAAAAGATGGCATTCAAAAAACTGTTATAAATTATAATAAAACTTTATGATTTAATGCAGTTTAGTTGAAGATGAACAAATGATGAATGTAGGATGTACTTGCCCTGCAAACAAAGTTTGAAGCCAATTTTATTAAGATGTGGTTTCCAGCTCATTTTTGTGTAAATGTTTGGCGTTAATTAGATCATACATTTGCCGAACGATGGATTGCTATATTATGTAATGTTGAATATCCACCTTATTCACCCGATTTGAATCCCAAAGATTATTTTTATTGGATGCGTGAAAAGTAGATTTAAAAAACGGAAGACATTTTAAACAATTGATTAAGTAGACATTCATTTAGCAATGTAGGAAACTTTTAATTAATAATGTTTAAATTTAGTTGTACACAATTTTAATCAAAAAAATTATTAACACGATTAGGCGAACAATATGTAGGGTCCTATAATTTAAAAAAATAAAAGAGACTAATGATATCAAAAAAATGGTAAATCTGGCAATATTACAAACATTAAATTTTAAATCTTTATACTGCAGAATAGGAACATGCCTGTTTTTGTATAATTCGGACCATCTATTAAAGAGATAATTAGGTGATTCCAGACTTTTATATAGAAATAACTGAAAACACTTGTAAGGACACGACCAATTTGAAAAAAAAAACAAAATACTATTAAATATGTAATCGTGTTAAAGATTAAAACAAACAAATTTTAAATCTCCAATTTTATGTTCACTAATTATAAATATGTTCGAAATATTTCTCTTTGACTCTGTTTGGAGCATTCTAATACAGTCCGGTGGAAAGCATTCACAAAGAATGTATCGAACTTTCACTTCATCTAAGATGACAACAACTTCTACTACTGTTTTTTGCTAGAGTTTTAGCAAATTCCACAAATCCCCCAAGAAGTCTCATCTATGACAGACAATTACCAGTTACTAATAATTCTAGAATAGTACCGTCCACTATGCAATATTAATGCATGTTAATTACTTATTAAGATAATATCAATTTGTTATTCACCACCCTTTTCAGGGTCCTTCAAACACCGCCATAGATATGCAAACTTCCGAATATTAATATCGAATTATCCAAATATAATGAGAATAAAATATCACCTTCCATAACCAAATAAAGATTCCTCGAAATACATCCATGCAAGTTCGATAAGAACCTTTATTCAAACGTATCTAAGAATGAAGAAGGTGTTGGCTGTGCTGATACAACACCTATAACTACTGTCAACCGATTTCGACTAGCTAGTACTGCTAGACTATATGGAATACTACAAGCTGTAAAAAATCCAACCAACGACAATAAAACTATAGATGCTGACTCTCTATCATAGATGCACTCCATAAGAAACTTACATTCGGTCCAACCAATGGTTCAAGAAATCTAGAGTACGTGTAATTGTATTGAAACTAATGGAATAACAGTAACAATTTTGTGGGTCCCATCACACATTGGTATTTCTGGCAATGAAAAATCTGATTTAGCAACAAAACAAGTCTGTTCTCTAAACTTAACAACAAAGATTCAAACATCATCTGACCTAAAAAAACACAAATAAAAAATAGTGGGCCTTTGGAATGATTATTGGATAAGAAGCAATACCAAGTCAAGCGTTTTTCAACCAAACATTTTCTACCACCAGCTCCCACCAATGAAAAGAAATGACAAACCTATTATTCGGAGATTAAAAATAGGGCATACATGCCTTACAGATGTATACCAAGGAATTCCAGCAATCAGACTTTGTGCCACTACTGCAACACCACGACTTACGTACTTCTTGACTGTCAATACCACCTAACGGTAACTACCAGAGGTAAATACAATCTTGGTAACAACGTAAAAGACATTCTTATCTCAAACAGCAGTAACCATAAAAATGTATTAAACTTTTTAAGAAACAAAAAGCTATACAATTGAATTAAAAAAAACGTGTATTCCAAAAAGTGTACTGTAGCTAATATTGTCCCTAATGTAAACGTGTTTAAAAAATGGGAGTTATACCTGTGTCAATGACCACTACCAGTCGAGACACATATTTCGAATAAAAAAAGTCTCAAATTGTGATTTTCTATGGTAGATTTTAGCGTAACCGATGTCTTTTGTTTTCTACAAATTGCTCGTTTTTTAATATAATGTCTACATATTTTTTTCATAATATAATAAATTCCCATGTTTACTGTTTACTGTTTACTGTAGATAGATTCTACTAAAATATCGTCCATTTCAATGAAACAAATGCACGTTCTATGACCTAACTAACCACTTTGTCATTGCGCACAAATCTCAACACAAACGAGCACAGGTGAAAGGAAACACAATGGTATAGGATAAGATACAAACCTCTAACAATACAAACAAAGATAAGTTCAAGTTTGATCACGACTGTGGCAAATAATGTTGCAACATGGTAACCGTTGTTGTTAAAAAAGTATTCAGCAACCTTGACAACCTTGAAGAAGATTCTACCAAAATTGTGGTTTAATATGACAGATGAGGATATCAGGTTTTCAGAGAACTGGTCGGTTTTTTCAGTAATTATTAGTTAGGGTGTTGAAATGTATTTTTTGCTATATATTTTAATCAAAATGCTAAAAAAACAGTAAACTAGCACTAGAGATTCTTGAAAAAAAACTAAGTATATCTTTCAAAGATAAGAACGCAGCGGATTAACTGTTCGGAAAACAACATATAAACAAACAGAAAACAGTTTGGATTCAAAAGGACACAAAAGCAGAAAACATAAATGAGTCCCAATAATATTATGAACAAAACTTGATGCAGGATTAAAAGAGGAAGTAAAAAAGTGGACCCCCACAAGTCTATAAGATTTAGAAAGTACAGATCTACGTCGTATATGTGTATAATCGTGTATCCTAAATGAAGATATATGTCAAGAGATTTGATGCGTTTGAAATGTGGCTGAATTGTAGATTACTTAAGATCTTGTCTTCTTCTCATTGATGTGCCTATCCGTTACGAATGTTGGCGATCATCATGGCAATATTTATCTTATCTGCATCAGCGCGGAAATGCTGCACGTTTTATTGAACCAGATTCTGAGGTTCATTAACCAAGATGTTCTTCTTCTTCCAGGACCTCGTTTTCCAAATATTTTCCCTTGCGGGGTGGCTTGAAGGAGAGCATATCTGGATTTATTTCGCATAATATGTCCGAAGAACTGTAACTTTCGAAATTTGATGGTGGTCAGTACCTCTTGGTTCTTATTCACTCATCTGAGGACCTCCTCTTTTGTGACTCAGCCAGTCCACGGGATCTTAAGCATTCTCCAATGTAGCCACATCATAAATGCTTCCAGTTTTCTGCACATATCTTTGTTCAAGTTTACGAGATCTTGTAGATCTTGTAAGATCTTGTACACTGACCAAATTACAAATCAAGAAAAAAAAATAACCGAGATGTATCTCATTAACATCATCACATTTTGAAAGCTGTACTATATCGAAAAAATTATGCAAAATGAATCCAGATATGCCCTCCTACAAGTCATTTCTAACGGAAAATATTGTGAAGGTGATGTCCAAGAAGAAGAACTCGGTAACTGGTTTAACACGTTAACTGAGCAGCTTTACTTGTAGCGCACAGTCGTTTACGTCGCGCATAGGCACATTAACAAAAAGAATCTCCAAATCTTCTAAAATTTGAACGTTATATATGCATTCAACTAATTTACAATTAATAATGGTTTACTTAATTCGTGTATTAATAAAGTGAAAATACTTTTCGAATAAATCAATCGCTTGATAAGTGTTACTTGGACTCTGTCCTGTAGGAGACGATAAGCATAAAACATCAAAAGCTGGATACTAAAACGAAAAAACACATAAATCAGTTAAATAAACATTTAAAGTGTTGTGACAATCAGTTAAGAAAGATCACCAGTAGAACAGCCAAGCGTAGTTCATCTTTGGAGAAGCGATGATCTAAGCACGGACCGCGAATTTAAGTAAGAAAAAAGCTGAATTAAAAGTAGGTGCCCCGTTTCTTCATAATTGAACCAAAATACCAACGTGGTGATGATTCAGAGAATTGTTTGCAAATGTTTTAAAAAATGAATTGACAACTTCATCCTGAACTCAAATCGGTAGTCAGCTAAATGACCAAGGGAAGCCAACAAAAACACAATAAAGAAGAAAAAATGCTTCTTCATCAACACAATATCGTATCCCAAATCTATACAAAATTTC